CCCCCCAACTGGTTTTTATGATCTCTCTCTCTCTCGCTCTGTGTGTGTCTGACATACACAGTATATGTATGCTGGTACTCAGGCACTGTCTATGTGATGTTTTCTTCCTCTCATCCAACACTGTATACCCCTATTAGCAGATTATACATGCACTGAACCATGTCTTAACCAGACACAATGTAACCATGTTCCTGCCTGTACAACTAAGCAGATGCTCTGTAATCTTATCTGAAACATGTTGCCGAGCCAATGAGCTTGTATGCTGGCACTGACCTTTACATGGTAACATCTCCTTGATGTGAAATGCACCTGAAAACAAAAAACAATTTCAGTGTAAATATGACAGAGCGGGTGTTTCCCCAGTGTCAGGCAAACACAGGCCAGATGTTGATGAGTACACTACATGCTGAAAGGCAGCACTGACCTCTGCTTCAGTGCTGTGCGGGGTCAGTCAAGTTATGCTAAGGCTTGTCATTCCTATCAGAGCACACTGAGATCTTTTAGTGCCATAGAAGGGGCTCTAAGTATTGTTCTTGACTAACATAACTTAGGGACCATATCTAGGGATTTATAGCCAAAGGCAACTACACATTGCACAGGGGTAAATATCTAAATCACACATATTGCATTACTAATTGAAGTCCCATGGGTCAGTTACCTAATTATAAATGAACTGTTATGCAATGACTAACACAGATAGACATGAAGATTAACAAAATAATCTCAACCCCAGGACCATTTAGCAGCTGTTCTTCAGCTTTTGATCAGACGAGACCATCCTCAGCAGATAGAGTTTGCTCAGTTGTTACAGAATTGACAATTCTAAGTCCCATCACACTTAGTTACTGATGCTACACCAGTCAAGCTTTCAGTTCTTAGATGACTAATGATAACGGAGGTAGATTCATCATTTGAAATTATTTGTAATTTTTTTTCGACAGCAGGCCTTTGAGTTCACATAGTGGTATAGAAAAGCAGACTTCCCAGTCTTAGCTGGTGACTGTCAGTTTTCCCAGCATGTTTGGTTAGAATGGCAACAGGCAGTTATCGCTGTGATGTTTTTGCTACATGGTTTTCTAATACAAATACTACTGTAGTCTCTGTAACCCTTCGCCTATACCACAGTGACATCCGCCCAGTTCAATCTCAGGTGTCATAAGAACAAGGGATGACTCACCCAGAGCAGAGTGATGAAGAGAGAGATAAAGGAATGTTGAAGTACTGGATTAAAACATGAAGCAGATCACTCATCCTGCCAATCACTGGCCTAACTGCTATTTCTGTCAGAGGAAGCAAGTGCCGACCTAATGGATGACCTCATGAAGCAAGGTAACCTTGTTTTTATTGGGCCTTTCATTCTGTCATTATGTGGGTCTAGTTGTTAAAAACAGTGTCACCAGTTTTGAAGGTGTGTACTTGAACCTGACCTCTCCCTCCTTCTCCTTCCTCTGAAATGGAAAGTAAATTTGACTATGATCAATTCACAGTATCACAAAGAACGAGACTTTAGGTAGCGGGGCTTTTATTAGATATTATTGGAGCCATGAGCTATAGATGATGCTATCATATGTTGTAGCAACATCTAACCTTTAACAAGGCAGCCATATTTATTTTCCACAGTCCTTGCCCTGTTATTTAATTGTTTGCACACCAGCTGCTTTAGCATTCAGACAGCACTATTCTTGCACCATGTAGCAAACCTAGTGTGTGCTACAGTAGCTCATACTCAGTCTAAACAATCTCTGTACCTCTACAGCTGCAAGAGCAAATGAGAGTCCTAGGGTTGTGTAACATGTGGAGATATGTTGTTTTATGGCTGTTGTAGTATATGACTCAGCCACCGTGAATCTGGAATAGGTACCACCTAGTGAATTCAACAAAGACTTTGATGTATTAAAGTGCAAACAAGATGTGAAATACTCTGGCTCTGTTTTTAACAGATGTATTGGCATCATCAAACAGAAGAGGTACCATAATCCAATTGGCTTGTATCATGTATACTTTGCCTTATAGATAGATTATATATTTTAAAGAGGCACTCTAGTGATATTACCTGTAAAAGTCAATTTAGTCTTGAGGAGTGCTTGGAGAGCTTGTATAGAACAATTATATGATACCTAATGTGATTGTGGAGCAGCCTTGTCAAATCAAATTACCCAAGTGATCTTGGCCAGGGCTTGGAGATTACAAATATTTTACACAAACTGAAGTTGAGGAGTTTGGAAGTCATGATGTTTACCATCAAATAAGGTCTATATGCAACTTTTTTAATTTTTAATTTTTATGATCCATTGTCTTTTGCAAGTCTTCCAACTTTACTGAAGTGCAATACAAAATCTCTAGAGCACCAGCTCTGTGGTATACTGGCTCCAACAACATCTCCTGATAAAATATTTGGCCAGCTCTGAAAAAATGAAAATTTCTACAAAAGTTTTTAATCAAGGTGATCAGATTAACCAAATGATAAATGTACTTGGGGTAGTAGTACAGAACTGCACTGTTGTGACCCATATTATTTATTTTGCAGCTTAATAAACCATACAGTTGTACAGTTGTACAACTGTACAACCCTTGCCTGAGAGCGTGTTGTCCGAACCCGACCCAGACCTGTCAGGCCTACAGTATATAATGTCGGAACCTAACCTGAGCCTGAGGCAGTTGAGCTTGTTTGGTGTTTTCCTCCTTATCATTAAATGAAGTAGACATTTGAGCGCTCCAGCTGTTTAGTCTAAAGTTTGACCTATGTGTCTGAACCCGACCCAGACCTGAACATAATTTCAAAATTACTGTTCGAACTCGGCCCGAACCCTTGGGTACCAATGAGTCCCATCAGGCTCTGTTTGGGTATCCCCACTCTATTGTACATTCATCTTTGGGGGCACACTGTCCAAAAAGTTGTGTGAATATACCACCTTCAATGACACAGTAAATAGAGCAGTTTATAGTATGATGACAATAACTAGGAAACAAAATCTCTCATTGCTTGTTCTGTTTTTTATTTTATCTCATACCTGTAAAAATATATTCTCAAAATAAATAAATATATGAAATAAATATACTGTATGTCCTAGGAAGCAAAACCTTATAAATAAGAATAAAGTCTGTCAATGTGTTTGTAAAGGTGTCTTTGTTGGGTCCCATCCTCATCGATTCACTGCAGTCAGTGAGAGAACAACAGGATTCCTTCACTGGGTTCTGGTCTGAGTTGCTAGATTTCCAACAGAACACAGAAAATTTCCCATGGGACACAACAGAAGAAGTCTTTAAAAAACTCCATTTGGCCACTTTTTCTTCTGGAATCCCACATGCACTTTGTAGAAAAGTCATCATTTCTGAGCAGCATCTATACTTGGAAAAATTTCAAAGAGGATCCATCCATGCCTTGACAACAGTCGGTGTGACACAGGTGCTTCCACCAGATCCCAGACCCGTTTTGCAGAACAAACAGTGTTGCTTTCCAGTGCATGAAACTACTTATTTGTGTAAACCAGCCACACTGTGTTGTGGATTATGCTTTTTAATGACTTGTTTACTTAGCAGCCACAGCAGTATAGATTAAAATTAAAAGGTCTACTGAAAACAGTGGAATTGACAAGACAGCAGTAAAGAGCTTTTAGCAGCCAGTTGTTAATCTCAACTGTTAGGTCCATACTTTTGACCTCATAAGCATGCAGTTTGAACTAGCAGGTAGTTGGACTTAATTAATGGAGACTCAAAGGAAATCCAAAAATGATCTATTTGGGCCCCATGGTCTCTGCATAGGCCAAAAAAGAGGCAATAGTTGGTGCCCAGGTAATCTTTGTCTCTGTCATGATGCCTTCACATCCTCCAGAAGATCTCTGGTACTGTTCAGTCAAACTCCCTGGACAGTTACAGGGGGTCTCTTTCCTTCCTGCATTCCAGCAGTGGAGAGTGTTTATTTGGTGCACTTTTGTGATCTTGTTTTGTCCAGATCAACAAGATCTTCCATCTTCCTCAAGAAGAGACTGAAATTAGGTGCACATGGGTGGCTTTACAGCTCAAGCTTGGTTCTGGCAGGGTCAAAGCAGCCCCTCTACAGTCTCAGCTCTGGCCCAGTATATCCCTGTACAGCTCTGGTACTCTGTCTGGGTCTACAGGCCTTGGTAAGAAATGAGTGAACCTCTGATGTCGTCTCGACCTTGTTCCATCCCGGGATGTTCCATCTTTGTTCAGAGCAACAAAGTAAAACGCACCTTTCTCTCCATGCCTGTAGATGTTGGAGGAGTATGTGTTGTACCAGTTTTCCTCAAATTGCTCCTTAAAAACACATTCTGCTGACAACTTTTCCTGTGGCAAGAAAAACAAGCAGACAAAAAGGAAATGTGAGTTTTATGCTGTGAAATGTGCCACCTGCTGGTAGTGGGTTACACATCAGACATGTTGAATACAGGTACGCTGTAAATATACATCAGTGTGCAGATGAACATGAATGTTTAGTGTGTGTTCAATAGTGTGTGTACTCACTGATCCATACAGCTCTCCCTTGCTGTTCATGGCAAGGTATAGGCCGCTGTCCACCCCTCTGATGCTGACCAGGCCTACAGCTAGACTGATGAACTCCAGAATACCTGCACACACACATAACATTAGACTCATGAGGCAGATGATTTTGTCCAAGGCAGCCTACAACCAGTGCTTTCAACCCCATTAACACACCTGATAACATAAACACAATTTTAAACAGCATACTTTAAGCACTGGGTACAGTATTCTACAATATCATGCATTTGTAAAATTGTTTAAATAACCTAGCCAAATGTAAGATATCTAAAGAGTGTTGACTGTTAGACTAAAATTTGCCTGAACTCAGTACATAAAAGTACAGTATACATAGCTCTGTGTAAGTTTACAGCAGCTGACTGACAAGCAAGGCTGAGTGTCTGGAATGGCCTCTGGCATGAAGTTATATCCAAATCTGAAATGGAATAAATCAAGTGCAAGAAGTGCTACAGCCCTGCAACACTAAAAGCACCCTCTAAAAGGTCTACTTTTGATCTGCCTATAAGCTGCAGCTGTTTATGCTGATAACTGAGGATAAGATGGAGAAAGTAAAGAAAAGCTCCCAATCTAATCTCAAAAAGGAAATGTGGTCAAATGTGCAAACATAAAATATTCCAACTATTGCTTATTTACCTTGAAATGTATCTTGTTTCATTGGAAGTGTTAGAACATCTGCTGGTAGCACCATACATTTTAGGGTTAGAACAGCAGCAGCTGCCATGACAGTACCATTAGCATTTAATTATAGTATAACCTATAGGACTGGGGCAGCATGGGTATTATCATGAGATATTGACAGTTTTCATTGTTATATAAAGTGGGTGCCTCAGAAGGTGGGAGCGGTGCAGCTATGTTCCCCTGGAATTATAACACCCACCCACCACCATCACTTCTCTCTCATTTGCCATTTAAATCTAATTTTAATCCATTTTGTTGCATGGCACAAACCGTGAATATTATAGAATAACAAATAAATACATTAAAATGAAAGTATTACACTAGATGTTCTCCTTTTTTAATCTCTCTCTCTTCCTCTCTCTGTGGTCTCTTTCTGTTTGTCTCTCTGTGTGTGTTCTCATGCCTACCTGACAGGCTACTGTATGGCACAAGAGAGCCTATAGCAAAAATCCCATAATAAACTACTACAACAACTAATAACAATAATAAATAGTAGCATATAGGTTTCATTGTAAAGGGGCCTGTACCGAATCTGCTGTGGTCCTTCCTGGTGCCCTGCACAGTGCCATCGGGGCGGATCTCCAGGTGGAACCCGGTCCTGCAGTAGAGCTGCCGCCGCCTCAGGATCCCCTTCAGATGGCTGAGGTCCGCCAGGCTCCGGGACAGCCTCTCCGCAGACACCAGGTGCTCCTGCTGCTGCCCCTGTCCTCCCATCAGCAGTCCGGTTACTGAGTTGTAGTCCACCGCCCCAGCTGGGCTGAGAACAAAATGAGAACCAACGGGAGCCGCAACTGCGCCCGCGGGACCAAAGCTGTCCAGAAATCCGTTGGTGAAACCCCCAACCTCGGCCGCTGCCCCCATCACAGATACAACAACCGATCTGCTTTTCAGTACAGGAGATCTGAACCGAGATCCAGGTGATGAGTAGGGACTTTACGAGCAGCGAGCAAGGGTCAGCCAGAAAAGCGCAGAAAAGGAAAAGTTGGATGAGCAGTAGGAGAAAATCCCCAATGAGAGCAGGTTTTGGCGCAGTCACCAGCTCCGTTAATTAGATTAAACTCCCGCGGTCTCTTGATATATGCAGGTAACCCTGGTTGCAGCAGCCCATGTCCTTTCTCCTCCTCTCCTCTGCTATTTATCTCTCTCCTCCTCCTCTCTCTCTTTCTTCTCGGGATACTCCCCTTTACTCCGGTGCATATCAGGGTTTTCCTCCCTCCTTCTCTCTCTCTCTCTCTCTCTCTCTCTCTCCCCACTCAGTTCAGCCTTTTATTTCTGCGGTACCCTCTGCTCTCTCAGCTTCCCCAGCAGCAGGATGAAGCGCAGTGAGACCAGCACACTGCACTCCACATCTATATAACGCAATGCTCCGCATTACCTCTAGTCGTTATGCAAATGCACCCCGATTCTTTTTATGGCTCATTGCTGTTCCTGATTGAAAAGAGGCATCTTCATCCACTTGCTCGTCGTTCTCTTGTCTTTAGTTCGATGTACAATTTCAGTCCACGATACGCAGGGACTTAGAATGAGAGAGAGAGAAAATACTGCTAATAAAATTTAGTCTGACAGGCTAATTATATCATGCACCCTTCCAGATACGCAACTGCTGATATAGATATTGCTCTTGGGTACTTCAGTAGTGCGTAACCTGTGTGAGAAACTGTTTGTGAGAGTCGCAGTGGAGTGTGCAACTCAGCGCTATAACTTGTGTGTGAAATAGACATGAGGAGAAAGCGAATGCCTGTTACCTACGTGTCAGACAGCAAGAAAGTGACATTGCCATTATCCTAAACGTTTTACACCCACACGCACAAATTTCGACATGACTCAGGTGCAGTGGGAGAGAGAGGAAAGCCCCAATTTGCGCAATTTTCGCACTCGGTTGTTGATTTATTACCCCGGTTTTATGTAACCCAGCCGCGCGTTTACAGCACCCGCACAAACACGCATTGCTATACACAGTCGCACTACACGCACCCACACACACCTGTGCAAACGGCATCACTTGGCTGTCAATCCCTTCATTGATCTTTCCACGATGCTTTGAACAGCGCAGGAGCCCATATAGCCTATCTTTAATTGTGGTCTTAAAAGACGAATCAAAGACAGAGGCTTCAAAGTGCAGGGCTCTTGTAAGGAGCTCAGGCAGTAACAGGAAAGGACTATACCTGTCTGAACTGCTGGCTTAAAAATACCCCAACACTTGACACTTGAATGACTTCAGAAATAAAACTGCAGCTGTTCAATAAACGGACTGTTGTTATGCATCTTTTAATTGATCATAAAACAAGTTTCTCTCTCCAAATCAGCCTCTCCAAAATGAAGTTTGGACTTGTAGCGTTAATATTTTAGTTGCGTTTAGTTTAGAGTTGTGTGGCCATGGGGGTCAAACCGCACTTTGCATGGCTGGTTTATCTTGTTTGTATCTAAACGGTGGCGCAAGGGCCCATTTTACATACTATATGGCATTGATTTTGGCAGTTCTACAGACACGCGCTCACGCACACAAATGCACGCCCACAGCTGCCCCCTCCCTTGGGAGTCGCGTTGATAAATGAGTTGAAGGTGCAGAAGTGTTTGCGGGCGCGCGCGTGTGGTCGTTTTGTACTCATGTCGATTTCTGCAGCATGACAGAAGCACTGTGGGATCGCAGCGTTTCGGGATTTCTTTTTAGCTTTTGTGCTCGTCGGTTTCCGATATGTAGTTGTTACCGGCTGTGAGACACACAGAGGGGCTTTAGTGCGTCTGTGTCCCACTTTCCCTCTGTTCATTACTATTTATGTCCATAAAAAGGGAACTTTTTTAACAGAGGCAGGGTCGATCGGAATCGCCTTCGGGCTGATCAGATGTTGCTGTAGCCTATTGAATATCGATCTGACCACAATGAAGACGTCAACTACAATAGCGCATTTCAAAGCTCATACAAGGTGCAAATGGATAGTTCCCAAGGTCACATGATTTTCTTTAACATGTTTTTACTGTTTTACTACTCTGTTTGTGACAGAGATTGAAGCCAGCCATGTAGAAGGGGGAGGAGAAGGAGGCCCCCAGGGTTATACCCCGCACCCACACACAAATTACAACCTAATCGAATGCCTGGATAATGGAATAACAGAATACGTATAGCCTAGAGGTTATTAATGCAAGTGGTTTCCACCCTGGGCCTGGGGAATTCCAGGGGTTCTTAAAAGCAGAATTCAGAAGGTCCCACATCAAAATATGTGCACTCATTTAATTTCATCATAATTTTGGCTATGCCAGTTAGACAAATATTGAGAATTGAGTTTCACCACATTATGTCCCTAACTGGACAAACTGTTGTGAAATGAGGGTGTGCAGGAGCTATAATGTGTTCCTGTCTGTGTTTGACAAAGTTGTATTTTCCTCAGTAGTCAGTATTGAATCTTAAAAATGTTTTATTAGAGTAGGCATTAGGAATTAGGATTTTGTTTTAACGGGTTATTTGCAATTTCGCATTAATTAACAATCTCCACCAATTAGGGTATAGGCTAATCTACTTTCAGTTATGAACAAAGTAAAAACTAAAGGAACAAATTAAGAGCCTAATAGCCATACTCCACCTTTTAAACTGTGTATTTGCACCAAAAGGTTTTGATAGCCATTGTTTAATCCTGTTTCAGCCTTTGGATATAATGGAATTTATAGATTAGTGTGATCCACTGTGCTTCATGTGTGAACAGATGACAGGCGCATCTAGACTTCTTCCCTTTATTCTCTCAGCATCAAAGTCATAAGAAAAGCCCCATCAGGTTAACATTAGTCCTACATGTAAAGACTTAAACGAAGAGTTCATCTTTGATATTCGTTTGATATTTTCTCTCCACTGGCTGCTTTGATCTTACACAATTTCCCATTGGTAATTTAAACACACTGGCCCTCAATAAAAACCGAGGAACGACAAATTTATTTTTTGCTATTTTTTGTGAGACATTTGGTGTAATAGACAATTTTTGCTTTTGGAGAGTGGTTTTGAATGCCAGATTGCTAGATGTTGTATGTGCTTTAACGTGGTTTAAAGTATAATTAGTGAATAGGTACTTCAAAGAGGATTTAATGTTACTTTGACAATTCACACAGAAACAGGCCTACTGCATGTTTTACTCAGTTATATTAATCTGACAGGCAGTGCCACTATTGGTGATTAAGATTTGACAAACAGAACATTCGATCCATTTATAAAATATGATGTATTGTTTCAGATTAAACTATCCAGTAAAATTTGTTTCAAAGCCAGTAATGTAATGTAAGTAATGTAGCCTAATATATCATAGCTAATGACAACTCTAACAGGGACCTTTACTGCTTAATAAGCATTTTACTTTTGATACTTAAAGTACGTTTTTTTGTTAATACTTATGTACTTTTACTTGAGTAACCCCTTAGATGCATATTAGCTACCTATAATTTAAAAGCCTATTTTTAATCAAACAAAAGATTTTATTGTTCCATCACTAGTAGCTAATAATAGGATGGTAAAATATGATTTCCAGTCGATGGATTACACTTTTTGATTTTATCGTCAAGGTAAGTTATCACTTAATTAGATGTGTATCCTATTGAAAAATATCAGAATTTACTGGTTAAATTCTATTCATGTAAAATAAATGAATCGAGTCCAATCGTTTTCTTCAACTAAATTTATGTTAGTTACTGCCTGCGCTTCAAATTAATCACTCACTTTCACGCAACGAAGCACTAGATATCACACTCTTTGCTCTTTGTGGGACTTTTTCTCTGCATCAGCATCAACAGAACGGCCGGACATCTCGCGATGAAAGCGGGGAAACGGGATCGTACTGTACTGCTGGCAAACTTATAACCACAGCAGCACAGCCGCACAGCCGCAGCAACAGCAGCAATGGCCGCTCTGC